AAGAAAAAAAAAAATCTCAGTGGCAAACAAAATTATTTTACTTTGTTTATTATCTTACAATTTCAATTTGGGTTATAAATTTTTTTCTCACAATTATTAATGTGAACATTTCTGAAGATAAAAAGCTGTAAGAGTAGAACAAAATTAGCATTTGGACTTTTGCTCTCAAAGTCAAGAGCTTACCTATCAGTCTTAACCCTAAACCAGTGTTTTGAGCCAGTGAGATGGCTCAGGAGGTAAAGGCTTTTGCCACCAAGTCTGATGACCTGAGTTTGATCCCTGAGACCCACATGGTGGAAGGAGAGAACGCCCAAAAGTTGTCCTTCTGATCTCCACAAGAGCATGTGCCATGTGCACACCGATATGCCCAGATGCAACTAACAAATTGCTGAATTTAAATGAACCAGTGTTTCTTCTTTGCATTTTTGGATCAAGTAATTCTGTGTGGCAGAAGGGTCTAGCCTTTGCTTTCTGTGATATTTAATAGCATCCCTGGCATATACACATGGATAGAATAAAATACACACACATACTGTGGCAATCAAATGTCTTCAGAAGGCTAATTGTCCCCAGTTCCCAGTTGAGAACCATTTCTCCAAACCTCACATGAGATCTCTAGTGCCAAGGGATGATAGTAAACAGATTAGCCAATATCTAATACACCAGCAAAGAGTTCAAAATAGAGTATGTTTAACAAGTTGTAAGTTTAAGATTGATAATCAATGTCTAATACTTAGGAATATTGTTCAGGTCCCCATAATGCCCAATTTTAGAAACACCTTTTGCTGGCAGAATTTGTGCTACTACTGACAACAAACAGGAGATGTTCACAGTGTACTGGTTTTAGATGTTTCTAGGATGTCTTTGTTTATTGTTCTGTCTTTCGGCCCTAGTGAAAAGTGTAAAAACCCGTGGTGTTCACTTTTTTTCAGATTTTTCTGTTCCTTGGGGAAAAGATTGTAGACAGCAGTCAGGAGTGATACAAAAGAGATGAAAGAAAGTGGTTATTACAGTAGGCATCGGTGTTCTGTAGCATTCATAGAAAATGTTATTTAATTTTGTTGAACCTCCTTTTGCAAGTTTGTATGAATTTTCAGGTAGCTTTGGTTACTGTAATTTCTATTCCTTTTAATCATCAATAGCATATCTCTCACTGTCAGTGTGTTTGTTTTCTGTTGGCCCTGCAAATCTTAAAACACAGTGGAGAACATGGATCAAACTTAAGCTGAGTCTCTGTAGCTCAAGCACATAGAACATTGTTTAGATAAAATAACCTTTTCTCATTGCTGTCACCATAGAGGGCAGTTTTTTCCTAGAGGATTATAGAAAGCATTTACATAACTCTCAGACATTTTCTCTATTCCCTCCAACCATTCTCTTGCTTCACCTCTTCAGATTACTTAGAATGACTATATCTACATTTCTCAAAGTGCAAAAAATAGATGATGATAACATATGAACTAGTATTATATAATGAAAGTAATAGGTTACCCAAAACAAAAATATTCTCCTTTTTATTCCTAATAAGAAGAAAACCATTTGTATTGCCTACTAACAGAGACGAGCATTAATCCATTTTCAAATTTTAAGAACTATGATAATTTAAGTGTCCGTGTGTTAATGAAGATTTCCTAGGAACTTGAAAATAATCAATTTTTCAATAGGAACAAATTATATTTTTATGACTTAAAATGATCATTAAATCAGTGATGAGTGAAGTTATAGACTACATAAATTTCTCACTTTATAAGTGGGCAAACTCGAGTTCACCACTTGAAGAAATTGTCCACAGCCTTACAGATTGGCAGTAGAAGCTAAATCCCTTGAGTCTGTTACTCTTATGCCATAGGACATACCATGTCCCCTATATTTCTGAATGGCCTCTTATTAATTTGCTTAACCTTTGTTCTCTACAGAATTCTCCCTCTGAAGCACAGAATTTAGATGAAAATACCACTGAGGGCTGGGAAAATCGGATAAGACTATGGACTGATCAGTATGAAGAAGCTTTCACTAATCAGTACAGTGCAGATGTACAGAATGCCCTTGAACAGCATCTACATTCTAGCAAGGAATTTGTGGGAAAACCTGCTATTTTAGATACTATCAATAAGACTGAACTGGCCTGTAATAATACAGTAATTGGTTCCCAAATGCAGGTAAGAACCAAAGCATTAAGGGCACTAAGAAATGGAGATTTTTAGAACCCAAGAGAGAGTACGGGTTGGAATTGTTTCTTGCCAATGTACAAGACCTTATAACAATTAGTTAAATGCTGATCATCTTTAACCAAAACCAGGTTAGAAGTTCTCTAGATATATATTTTAGAAATATCTTTATTAATAAAAATAGATTAATAGAAATGGAAGTAGATAAAAATTCTGAGTTATTAAAAGCTCATCTCATTCTTAAATGCAAAGCAGCTAAAATCTTAAGTGATAATGTTTTTCTCTGATCATGCTTTTTCTGGGATAGTCGGTTCAGTAGGTGGAACATCTTCCCTAGAAATTTCACTTACATGAAAATGAAAACTTTCTGATCTCCTAGCTAAATAGCGTTCAGATAAAACCCAAAAATAGTGGTGCTTTTTCAATAGTAATGAAATATTTTAAATGTTCGCTACACTGCTGTTGCTATTCTTGAATGTTGACACTCTGGTTTTATTCAGTTACAGCTGGGAAGAGTCACTCGTGTTCAAAAACACCGAAAAATTCTGAGGGCTGCGCGCGATTTAGCTTTGGACACTCTTATAATAGAATATCGTGGGAAAGTCATGTTACGACAACAATTTGAGGTCAATGGACATTTCTTCAAAAAGTAAGAGCATCACTCATTGAACACTGAGGGCTTTCGTGGTTCTGGCTGACCAGTATTGCTATGAAAATCATCTTAGTTGTTGGGGTGTTTCTCAGAAAAAGCTAACAATTCAGATAAACTCATTTCTGACTACTGTTTGTGGAAAAGGGCACATAAATCTGCAAGATGTTTAGTGTATAAAGTGACGATGACTACTTTCCAAGCCCAGCATTCCTTTCTTTGTGCTTATTCTTTAATCAAAAGCAGAAAAACGTGTGAGGTTTTTCCAATTTTAGGCATTACAAGTGACTGCTACTTTTTTCTGCATATGCATCATATTTGTAGTCATAGAGTGGCCTTTTGTTTGTGTGAGAATTACAGGAATTTTAATTATATCCGTAGACCATATCCCTTTGTGCTCTTCTACTCAAAATTCAATGGTGTAGAGATGTGTGTGGATGCTCGTACTTTCGGTAACGATGCTCGGTTCATCAGAAGATCATGTACACCAAATGCAGAGGTAAGATATCCTTAGCAACTTCCCTTTCAATGGAACCACCAAAGGACAAGTTTACTTGAAGAAACAATCTGAAAACATCAACCAGATAAAGGTCTGTAGCTATTAGTTTTGATTTTTTTTTTAATTGCAGGAGATGAAAAATGAAAATGTGTCTTTATGGAGGTGTGATGGGGACAAGGAAAAGATTTTCTTTAGAAAGGACAGAAATGAGAAAGAGCAAGTTAGTATTTGCTAAAAAATAAGTCTGAATAAGAAGTCAATCCATTTAAGTTGAATTGGCCATGTGGTGGAAATTGCCCAACCAAGTCATTTGGTTTCACTTTTGTAGATTTTATGAACCAGTGTTATAAGGAAGATTCTGGACATTTCTAATATTTATTAGTCAGTGCAATAATATCAAGTGCAGTAAGATTCACAAAGCTTTATAAGCTAAGGAATTTTAATTCTATAGAAGAACACAGATATCTATAAGATATAAGGCAAAGATTTTTACCCTGACTTGTAATATTTTCAGGTTTCTCTCTTTGAAGAAGTCTAATACATTGTCGGGTTCCTACTGTATAATAATTTCATATGAAATGATGATATTAGACAGACTACTCAAATGGTTAGAAATTGGGGCTAGAGAGGTGACTCAGCAGTTAAGAACACCAGCTGCTCTTACGGAAGTTCGATTCCCAGCACTTACATGGCAGCTAACAGCCTTCCATTCCTCCAGTGCCAAAGGATCTGATGACCTCTTCTAACCTCTCCGGGGCATCGCATGACACGGGTGCACTTACACACATGCAAGCAATACACTCATAACACATAAACTAAAAAAATAAATAAATAAAATATTTCAAAAAATGGTTAGAAATTATTTGGGTCAAAGACTTTCCATTTATGGAAAACTTAAGTCCTCATGTTAAACCTAACCATAAACCTGATTCACACAGGTGAGACACATGATTGCAGATGGGATGATTCACTTATGTATCTATGCTGTATCTGCAATTACCAAGGATGCTGAAGTCACCATTGCATTCGATTATGAATATAGTAACTGGTAAGATCTCAGAAACCTTTACTAGCATGAATAGCCTTTTCTTATACATTAAGCTTTTTGGGGAGATGGGTATTTTTTTGAGATAGGGTCTCCCTGTATTCCCAGCTAGCCTGGAACTCTGTATGTAGACCAGGCTGGCCATCACCTCCCAGTTATCTCCCTGCCTCTGGCAGTCCTGCTGAATATTGGGATTAAAGACATGTGCCACCACACCCGACCCACCTTGAGCTTTTTAAGATCTTGCTTTTTTTTTTTGTTTTTTCCTTTGTATAGTCTTTACATGAGGAATGTGTTTTCTGTCTAAAAATCATGAAGCAAAAAAAGTGGTTTTTTGTTTTTGTTTTTAAGAAAGATTTAGTACTTTGACAGTGCTCATAAGTATCCTGACAAAGGTGATAGGTTATATGACTTGTTAACAAGAATAGAAAAGACGGGTTATTCATGCAGTGTTCCTGAATACTGCAGTGACATACATACAGTACCTGGACCAGAGCTCCACAGAAGAATAAGAATTATAAAGATTGACCCCTTCCATGCAAGGCATGTAATCTGGATGCATATGACAAAGAAATAGATGTAACTCATACATGGTATACAATAGCTTTCATAAAGTAGATGCTGTCTTTGGTGTTTGGGAAAATTTGTTTATATGACAAGTTTTGGTTATCCTAGGTATAAGAAAAAAAGGTGTTAATAGAGAGCTGATTATGTAGCTGAGCAGTAGACTGGTCTAGCATAGCCAAAAAGAAAAGAATATTAAGTAAAAGTAAGGATCCAGTGATGGTGGCCACTTTAGATTCTTATCACTGGTTCACTGCCTGCTAAATATAAGAAAAGCAGTAGGGAGCATTGAAATTTAATGGGGGCTTGCTTTCCTTTCTACTTACTGTACATAGGTTTAGAGATAGAGACATATAGAGAAAGACTATTTATTGAGGGGATTCATAACACCAGAGAAAAAGAATACACTAATGTTTCTTTTTTTGTTTGTTTTTGTCTTTTTGAGACAGGGTCTCCCTGTAGTCCCAGCTGACCTGAACTCACTATGTAGACCAGGCTGGTCTTGAACTCAGAGTGATCCGCCTGCCTGTGCCTCCCAAGTGCTAGGACTAAAGGCGTGCGCCACCACACCCGGCAAGAATACACTAATGTTTTAATAAAATGAGTGGATAAGCTAGGCATGATAATACACACTTTCAATCCCAGCATGGGAAGGGCAAGTGATCTCTGTGAGTTCAAGGCCTACCTGGTCTATATAGTGAGTTCCAGGCCAGCTGGGGCTACAGGGAGACCCTGTCTCAAAAGAAAAGATGGATATGTAGTCTGTTTTCAAGACTACCAAGACTCTTTTTGATTGTTTCTTTGGTGCAGTAATTATAAAGTGGACTGTGCGTGTCACAAAGGAAACCGCAATTGCCCTATACAGAAAAGAAATCCTAATGCTGCAGAATTGCCACTCCCACCACCTCCTAGCTTTCCCACCATTGGAGCAGAGACCAGACGTAGAAAAGCACGGCGGAAAGAGCTCGAGATGGAGCAGCAGAATGAGGCTCCAGAGGAGAAAAAAGAAGTTCCAGAAAAAGTAACTGTGTCCAGTGACCATGAGGTAATATCCCTGGTCAATTCAGGATGGTATGATCTCATTCCTCTCCAAATGAAGTAGATTCCAGGTTGCCATGTGTTGTTTTAGAGAAGCTATAGTAATGTTTAATGCTCTTTACAGCACCATAAGTGTGCATTCGTGCGTTTTCTTTTTGCTTCATAATATCAAGAACATCCTTTCAGGGCCTGGTGTGGTGGCACATTCCTTTAATCCCAGCACTCAGAAAGCAGAGACAGATCTCTGAATTCAAGGACACCTTGGTACGTACCAAGGCACGTAGCAAGTTCCAGACCAACCAGGGCTGCATAATGAGGCTCTTATCTTTTTATTAAGGATATCTTTTTCAGCCTGTAGTGGTGGTACACACCTATAATCCCAGCACTTGTGAGGGTGAGCTGAGACAGGGTGATCACTAATTTGAGACCTGCCCGGTCTGCATAACAAGACCCTATCTCAAGAAATGTAAAACAAGACTATCCTTTGAGTCATAGGCCACTTGCCTCGAATGTACAAGGCCCGGGGTTTAATTCTTGGTGCGTGCACAGAGAGAAAGAGAGGAATTCTTCCAGTTACTCTCTAAGTTTTAGTTTAAAGAGAATAGAGGTTATCGTCTTTGTTTACCATGTGGTCTTGCAGGAGTAACACTTTAAAGCATCAGAAATTGTTTTTAGAGTGTCTTATGCTACCAGAATAAAGCAGATTGATTTTACTCAGAGCTTAAGAGAATAGTCTAACAGTGCTTCTGTTTTAAAGGAAGTAGACAATCCAGAAGAAAAACCAGAAGGAAAAGAAGAGGCTATAGATGACCAGGAGAACCCAGCTCATAGCAGGAGGGTGGGTACCACCCAACATCTGTCTTTGCTCTTTCTGAATCTTGCTACCTATAGCATGTCTACTCTTCTCCTAACTTTGTATCGTTTTATTTATTTGACCTGGAGGTTATCTGCATATGGGCATGCCCACAGTAGTATATGGCATTTATTATCTAATGGTAGCTTTAAGCTGTTTCCTTTTAACAGTCTGATTTCCCTAAAACTGGCTGATGAAGAACAAAATGTGTTGGACTTAAAAGTTTCCTTGGTTTATGTTGAATTTTAGATTTTTTTTTTTGTCTTTTTGAAGCAGGGTCTCCCTGTAGCCCCAGCGTCCTGGAACTCACTATGTAAACCAGGCTGGCCTTGAACTCACAGAGATCCACCTGCCTCTGCCTCCCAAGTTCTGGGACTACAGGCATGCGCCACCATGCCCAGCTGAATTTTAGAATTTTAAAACCAAAAACAAGAGGTGATGTAACTCAATTGCCAAAGGATTTGCCTAGTGTGCCTATTACATAAACATTATTGAATGAACAGCTAGAGGACAGATTTTGTTAGCTTTCCATCTCGATGTCAGAAATGCCTAAGTAAAAACGGCTTAAAGGGGGCAAAGTATACTTTGGCTGCACTGTGACAGGCTTTAGTCTATGGTCTGCAGGCTTCATTGCTTTTGGCTGGTAGAAAGACAGAAATTGATAGCAGGAATGCATTGCAAAGAAAAACTGCTTACCTCATGGCTGTCAGGAAGCAAAGAAAGAGTAAAGGTGCCAAATATACCAGAATATACCATTTTAAGGCCCCCCCTCTATTGGCTTGTTTCCTCTAAGCAACAGGCCCCACTTCTAGGGTTTTCACAACCTCCCAATAGTACTCACTAGCTGAGATCCATGCCTTCAACATATGAACCATTCCACTCTTCTGTTGTATGGATTAAAGAAGTTTGTCAGTCATCTGTGTTTGGGAGAGATTCAAAGACAATTTACTTCATTTTCGAACACTGAAATTATGGTAGAAAATTGGTTTTGATTGCCTTTTTTATATTACAACATTGAAAAATAGCTCACCTACTTTTTTTAAGTTTTTGGATTTGCCTTTTACAACTATTTCCAATATTTAAATGAAATTTTAATTTTTTTCTTATGGTTCAAAGGTGTGTCATCTTACTAATAGTTTAAATGCGTTTCTATAGATTTCTATTGGTGTTACTTCTAAAATGGATGCACTGTGCTTCTTAAAGCGTCATCTAAATTAATGCTATTTTTTACTAGACTCGAGAAGATAGGAAGGTGGAAGCCATCATTCATGCTTTTGAAAACCTAGAGAAAAGAAAGAAACGGCGAGATCAGCCTGTAGAGCAGAGCAATTCAGACGTAGAGATTACTACCACCACCTCAGACACACCTGTTGAAGAGACAAAAACTGAAGCCCCTGAGTCTGAAGTTAGCAACCCTGCTTCAAATATTACCATCCCAAGCACCCCACAAAGTATTGGTGTGAATACTCGGAGGTCTTCCCAAACTGGGGTAAGAGAAATAACTCTAAGGTTAGACCATCTTTGTGTGTATTAATGTCAGTTATAAGTAAAGCCAACTGATTTTCATTAGTTGAGTTGATTTCTGGGATTCAGGGAACTAATAGGTAAAGACAAAATTCAAATGACTAAAGGATCTTCAGACTGCAAAGGACCCTTGGTAGTTACTGTATCTGCCAATTAAGCTTAGTGACAAGTTCACAGAAATCGTTTTTGGTTTCTGGACTGGTGGCACAGCTCAGTATTAGAGTATATGCTAAGCATGCAGAAGTCCTGGAGTTCAGTCTCTCCATCCCCAACAAAAACAAACCTGGTATCTCTCAAAGCCATTCTGAGTAGTCTAGTTATATACCTGACCTTTCATAGGATTCTCCAGGTAAACCTGTCTTGTTCATACCCTAGCAATGAATCTGAGCTAAGCCTCATTGTATATTGCAGAAAAGAAACAAAATCTCTTTCCTCTTAAGAACTCATATTAGGTAACTACCTATAGTTGCCTTTTGGCCTGTTTATTTTATTTATTAATTTTATTTTATGTATATGAGTATATTGCCTACATGTATATAAGTGCACCCAAGTCATGCAGTGCCCACAGGTCAGAAGAGGGCATCAGATCCCCTGGAACTAGAGTTACAGACAGTTGTTAGCTGTCATGTGGATGCTGGGAATCAAATCCTGGTCCTCTGCAAGAGCAGCCAGTGCTCTTAACTGCTGAGCCATTTCTCCAGCCCCACATTTGGAACTCTTTAAATGGATAGGAAACTAAGTAAGAAGTAGGTAAAAAATTTCTGATGCTGGGTTAAAGGTGGCACATAAAAATCCCAGTACTCAGGAAGCTGAGGCAAGAGGATTGTAAATTAGAGGAATTAGAGGCCAACATAGGCTACTAGTAAGAATCCTGGGGGCTGGGATTAAAGGCATGTCGCCATTTTTGTTTTTTTTTTTTTTTTTTTTTTTTAAAGAAATTTTTGGTAAACACTTGGACCTGATATTGTTACAGGATGTTGCTGCAGAAAAACCAATTCCCAAACCACCTCCAGCAAAGCCTTCTAGACCCCGACCGAAGAGTCGAATTTCTCGTTACCGGACCAGTTCAGCCCAAAGACTAAAGCGCCAGAAGCAGGCCAATGCACAGCAAGCAGAGCTGTCACAAGCTGCCTTGGAAGAGGGAGGAAGTACCAGCTCAGTAACTCCTACTGAAGCTGGAAGTGTGGACAGTTCAGGAGAAAACAGACAGTTAACAGGGTCTGACCCAGCTGTGATATCAGTTACTGGATCCCATATCAACCGTGCTACATCTAAATACCCCAAAACCAAAAAGGTAAGTGACAAATACAAGTTTAGCCTGACAATAGGTGTCTTAGTAAAACAAAAGGACTTGTAGTCTTCAGGGAAAAAAAAAAAAACTAATCTCATTATTAGATTGAAAGTTCTGGATATAGCATTTTAGTGCTGAAGAGTGAAAGGGTGAAACCATCTACTACTTTTTTTCCATGTTTTTAGACAGAACTTAAATCACTGATTGATAACTGAAATTATTCCTATCTTAATGAGCATGGAAAGAGTAAAGATACTCTTAGACTTAGAATGCTCAGTTCACCCTCCCTGTAGTTGCTGCATCCATTCTCATTTCTGATGAGGTTTGTCTGGCTGTTATATCAGCAGCACTTACTAATCTTTTGTTTTTGTTGTTTTTTTTTTTTTTTAACCTTAGTATCTAGTTACAGAATGGTTGAATGACAAAGCAGAGAAACAAGAGTGTCCTGTTGAGTGTCCTTTGCGTATCACCACAGACCCTACTGTATTGGCAACAACCCTGAACATGTTACCGGGTCTTATTCATTCCCCGTTAATTTGCACCACCCCAAAACACTACATTCGCTTTGGCTCACCTTTTATGCCTGAGAGGCGTCGAAGGCCCCTTCTGCCTGATGGCACATTCAGTTCCTGTAAAAAGGTATGTCCTTCTCTGTGTGTGTGTCTGAGAGAGAGAGAGAGAGAGAGAGAGAGAGAGAGAGATAATATAGGATGCTTATAGTTAGCATTCTCTCTATAGAGAATATAATAGCATTGCGTTTATTAATATAGGATGCTTATAGTTAGCATTCTCTCTATAGAGAATATAATAGCATTGCGTTTATAATGAGTTTGATGAATATTAGTGTATCAGGAGCCACTTTGACCAAGGTGGAATATCTGTTGCATTCTTGGTGCTCAGATTTGTGAGTATTCATTGTTCTTTACCTGAAAGCCTTTGAAGTTACTGAATGAGAGACAAGGCAGTTGATGACTGGGTAGGAAGGAGTGTGTTTTGTGTATGTTTTTGTGGTACTGGTTAGCATGGCCATTTGTGATTATTGTGTGATATTGGTCCCTAAATACTCTAGAGCACTGTTGTATGCATAAAAATAAGATTGTGGTTTTTAATGAATCACTATATTTAGCACTTAGAGGAGATTAAAGGAAAAATCATGCTATAATTGATATGATTCAAGGTTGGACTGCTTATTCCCTAGAGAATATGAAACATGATGTAAAAGACTCTGCCTCTCTTTGACTCTGGTTATTGGTTTTGGATTTAATAGTGGTAGTGTTTGGTAGTTGTTCTTGGAAGACACTTTCTTAATTTCCAGAGGTCCTACATATTTTCCAAGGCGTCTCTCAGGAATAGATCACTCCTTCTAACCTATAATGTCTTTTTGATGTTTTCAGAAGTATAGGACCTTTTCATTTGGTCTTCCTTTAGGTAGAGTTCTTTTCCCTAGAACACCCTTTTCTCTTATCCTCAGATCTGGATTCAGGCTGCCTTCCTCAGTGTCTGCCATTGCCCTCCTCCACTGGCATCACGTACATGAGGATGCTTCATGTAGCTTATTTGATGTGATGAAGTCTCCAACTCCAGGCAGGTCTTCCATGACTTCTCCAAACTTAAAGATTTTCTTTCTCCTCATAGAACAGAAATTATTTCTTGGGGGTTGGGAACATGAAAGGTGAGCCAAAGTGGTATGGGATATGGAGGGGAGGAGGGCACCAGGAATCTGCATAAAAGAAGGGCAGTGCTACCGAACCAGCAGCACACACTACAGAAAGTCTTCATCTCACAACTTACCTAAGTATGGGAGTTACTTAGTTTATGTGGACAAAGTCCCAAGTCAAAGAACTTCTGAGAAATTTGATCACAAGATCCTTACCAGAAGGGTTTTTGCTAAAAACTGTCTTAAAAATAAAATAATAGAACATTTCCAAAAAGCTGTTTACTATAGGAAATTTGCCTAGTCATGAAGGGGAGTTGTGTCTCTGAGGAATTCTCTTATACCAAGTCACTTAGATTGGCTAGTTTGTCTTGGGTCTTGCAGATTATCTCAGAAGAAAAATGGTTTGTGTAAAAAGTAAACAAAAAACAATGATTGCCGGGTGTGGAGGTGCGCGCCTGTACTCAAGAGTCTGAGATGAGGATTAAGACTAAGTAGCAAGAAACCAGTGAGGTAGTTCAGTGGGCAAGGCCACCTAAATTTGGCCACCAGAGCCCAAGTAAAAGTAGAAGTTGGGGGTGGAGAGATGACTCAGCAGTTAAGAACACTAGCTTCCGAGGACCCAGGTTCGGTTCTCAGTACCTACATGGCAACTAACAACCATTTGTAACTCCAGTTCCAGGGGATCTCCTGACCTCTGCAGACTCAGGTGCCCTTACATACATGCAGGCAATACACTCATACATATAAAAAAATTGAAATAAAGTATTTTTTTAAGTCGAAGTTATCCTCTGACCACCACTAGCACTCCATGAAATTTGCACCCTTACACAAACAATAATAATTAAAAGACTATTTTTTTTCACTTTTAAAAGAAGAACAGAGCAGATTCTTAACTGCTTTTGTGAGGAATGTTGAAAATTAGAAAGGACCCCACCCCTGAGGATGTGTACACAGTTAAAAGGAGAGAGATTTTTTTTAAATGGTAGAGCCACTGGTAAGGTTTCCATGCTCCTATAAGCAGCAACCCTAATTGAAACTCATTGGTTACCAAATTTTAAAAAGACCTGACAGTAGAAGGCAGGCTGGTTTGGAAAATAAAAGGGGATTAGTGAGAGTGGGAAAGGAACAGCAGAGGGTTATAGGAAGAGGGTAAGTGTGATCAAAACACAACACTATGTAGATGTGTGAAAATGTCTTAATGAAATCCACTATTATGTATAACTAATACAGTTAATAACATTTTTAAAGGAAATTAGGATATAGTCTTTGAAACATTCTTTCAAGCTAGGTAGTAAAATCTGATGTTTAAGAAGGATTGGTGATAATTTAAATACAGAGTAACGTAAAGTCTTCGCTTTAAACAATATGAACTAACTTATTACAATGCCTTTTTAGCAGTTCTGATTCTGGGTTACAACCTTTTTGTTCCCATCTTTTCCAACTATCAGAGACCCTTGAAAGCCAAAGTGTGTTTAAGTGTGACTTCTATTCAGTAGATAATCCATTTCTATCTTTTTTTTTTTTTTTTTTTTACTGTTGTATATGTGTGATATGCACACCTAAGGGTCGGAAGACAACTCTGGAGCTAGTTCTCTCCTTCTACCTTTATGTGAGTTCCAGGTGTGAAAGTGAGGTTATCAGGCTTTGACAACAAGTGTTTAATGCTCTAAGCCATCTACTGGCCCACTTTTAGCTCTTTTTATCTGGTTGTGGTTTAGGGCTTACACCTGTAGCTCATTGTCTCCATTGGCAGCAGATGGAAAGAAATTGCTCTTAACTGAACTCCGTATTCTCCCAAGTATATCTGACAATTTTCATTCGTAGTTGTCCTCCCTTTTTTTTGGCAGGGCTGGGGATCCAACCATGGGTCTTTGACGTGCTGGGTGAGCACTTTTCTGCCAAGCTATATCCCTAGCCCCATCCTTAGTCTTAATTTATACAGGCTCTGCTTTAACTTGCTACATGTCAGGATTGCTATTTAGAAAGAAACTAAGTACACTGGATTATCATAGCAAGAGTATTTTATTAAAAGTGGGTCTTAAAATTGTATAAATTATAGCCATGGAGGTGACTCAGTTGGTAGTTTTTCCATCATATGCACAAAACCCTGGATTTGTTGTTTACCACCTCACAAACTGAAAGCGGTGGCACTCACTCATAATCCCAACACTTGGGAGGTAAAAGCAGGAATATCAGAAGTTTGAAGCTAGTAGCCTCATGAGACCTTCTCTTCCCCTTCTTTCTACCTAAAAAGAGCTTAAGTTTAGGCCAGGTGTGGTGCGCACGCCTTTAAACCCAGCACTTGGGAGGCAGAGGCAGGAGGATCTCTGTGAGTTTGAGGGCCAGCCTGGTCTACATAGGAAGTTCCAGGACAGCTGGGACTACAGGAGACCCTGTCTCAAAAACACCAAAAAAAAAAAAAAAAAAAAAAAAAGAAACATAAGTTTAGATCGAACTTGCGTAAGTTTAAATCACTGCTTTAATATTTGTTCAATAATGGTCCAGATTACATTTTAAATATATGGCTTCATCTGGGCAAAATAAGCTGTCTTTGAGCTAGAAATTAGAATTAGCATTTTCCTGGGTGGTGATAAAGATTCATTTTTAGATTGACTAGAAAAGGCTCATGTTCATGTAGGTGAATATTCAAGAACATTTCCGTGATTAAACAACATTAATAAAATTCTAACTCTTAAGATTCCTGAAAGTTGTAAATTAAACAGCTAGAAAACATAACCTCCATGGGATTAGTTAGAACGGTATATATTCTTATTAGTAGACCCACTATTTCACATATTATTAAAGGAGATATGCCTCATAAAAGTAGTATATTTGTACCCAGATTAATAATTTGTGATAACATTTATTAATGTTCCTGGAGTGTTTATAGTCAGTTGAGTCATGGTTTTCAAAAAGAATTATATAATTCCATGTCTTTTTAAAAATCTTTTATTTTAGAATAGAAGTGCAAGCCTGTTAGTCGGTGCCCTCCCTTTGTTTTGTATAAAATCATCTAGACATAATATGTGTAGGACATTTGGTCTCCCAGATTTTCTTTTTTTCTTTTTTTTTCTTTTGGTCTTTTTGAGATAGGGTCTCCCTGTAGCCCCAGCTGTCCTGGAACTCACTATATAGACCAGGCCGGCCTTGAACCCACAGAGATCCACCTGCCTCTGCCTCCGGAGTGCTGGGATTAAAGGCGTGCACCACCACGCCCAGCTGATCTCCCAGATTTCTTAAACTGGACTAACAATGAAGCACTGTTTTGAATTATTTTATTGTATACATTTGAAGAGTGGTTAATCTGTTTCTTTAAACATAACATTGAAATTTAGTTGAGAAATTTGAAAAAATGCAATGTTTCTAGTACTGTGCTTCAAGATTTCTTTGCATATATTCATCAGCACAGCTCTGTGGAGTTGGTTATTTACTGACTAGTTTTATAAACTCAGGAGTGCTGTCTCATAAAGGTTGTGTGTCTAGTTAGCAGCAGAGCATATTTCAACCTGCCTTTTTAATTCTAAAACCTGTATTACTTCCTTATTCTTTCTCCAATAATAGTACCCTTTTCATTTCAATACAGTTTTACAGAAAAGAGAAATGTACTTATGACTTCATTGACTCTAAGTATAATTTATGAGTCCTGAAATACTGTAAAAAATCTACAACAGGACTAGAAAGAGAGGTTTGGTCTCACTCTCTAAAAAGAATAGCTTTTCTTGGATGAAAGTTTAGGGATCTCTAATGAGTTCTATCATCGCTCTGAAGGGAAAAATAAATTTAAAATAACTTGTATAAA